TGGGGAGTGACACAGCTTATTTTTAAACTAATCATATCCAATCGCAATTTGCATTACTTCTCAATCATATCACATTATCTAAGCATAATTTGCCATGTTCGTCTACCTCAAACTTGCTAAATTGTTTAGATAATCATTTCACAAAGTGTACTTCATTATTAAAAAGGGACTATCAGTCAATAAAGTAAGCAAAGAGCAAAATATGGACAGCTTTGAGTGAACAATCAAATCGGAGCGAAGTTATAATGGTGGAATTGCAGATAGTTTATTGCTGAAAATCAGGTTGTTGACTAGATTTCTTATTTTAAATACTCTTGATCATGTTATGTTTGGGGACCTACGAGAATAGGTTAGTTAAGTTGGTTCATTGTACAAACCAAAGCGCTTAAACTTAAGATCCTAGCCATAAACCTTGACAGTTTAGCTCCAATATTCTAATCATAGAGATGAAATTAAAATGGAATGGATTCTATCATAGATTACTGTGATTTTCAGCTCTATAAATCCATAGTTTACTTCAAGAAGTTCATTCATCGTGTTTGTAATTTCATCATTATTTTGTGATGTATAACATATTCACCATATCTGAATTCGAATTGAGAAATCTGACTGTTCATCGAAGCTCATAGAACCAGGACTATTATGATTCATTAAATCAGAGAATTTTGTTCATTGTGACATTTCCTACTATCATAACATGAATAGATGTTTCCCTTAGTTGAATTGTTGCCTATTAGTATCAATGGTGAATGGAATATCAGTTGATAAATAACACAAAAATAGAAATGCTTAACTATGTCTGTGTATTCCACACATTTCACACCTGAAACACAATCACATATACTCACTCATTTAGCTAGTTAATTTGTGATCAACATATAAAGTGTGTGAAAAAGACCGACATAATCTTTACAGTAAAACTATACTACACTGACGACATAAAGTGATTCTAAGAGTAGGCATGGAATTGAAGAACTAGATATTAACCAATTACAACCGATATTTCATTGTTAACATTAATGACTGACCTTAGTTACACTACCATCAAAATATATGAAGCACTGGACAGTTTATTCGTTTTAGAATGGGATGCTTTGGTAGTTCACATCTACAGGTCGATAGGAATCGCACCCAGGACCTGTAAGTGTTTAACCTTTGAATCATCGAGGAGGTATCTAGTAATTAACATGTTTAAATTCAACAGTTATTAGTTACTTATCAGATGAATGAAGACTAAATTCTGAAGCAAAGATGAATAATGGTTAGCAGTGGAATTTAGGACGTTCGTTTCGTCCTATTTGAGACTCGTCAGCTGGATGTACCTGCATCCCAGAGTTGACGGCCATTCCGGGACTCGAACCCAGTACCACTCACTTAGCTACGGAGTCCTGAAGTTCTCAACATCAATGAGAAGATTCAAGTAAACAATACTAAGTGAATTTAAATATTGAAGGTCATAAACCAACCAACTGATAATGGCTATTCACTATCCCTGTTTGTCCTCTCCATATGCATGTTGGTGTTGAATTTCAATAAATCTGTGTTTTTATGAAGTGACTTACATTTACCTAATATTTTATGTGGATGTATTGAGAAAACTAAGATTGTCAGATCTACATGATATATTGACGTAAAACTTTTCAAACACAATCTGACCGCACATATACCTGTCCCAGAGTGAACAACAACTCTGAGATGCATAGGACATAGGACGAAACGCGCGTCCTAGATTCCACTACTAGTCACTATCCATCCTTGCTTATAATGCTTGTAAATTAAAGCAATATCGAGGCAATACGCACAGTATGCACATATGCCAACATGAGACTGATCAATTTCATTCTTAAACATCTATGTGAAGGTACAAGAAAAACAGTATTAAGTGAATCGAACTTGTTAAGAATATTTATTTATGAAATATAAAAGGTCAATACGACAATTGAAAGATTAGGTGTTTAACAAAGAGAAAGATAGATGTTTATCATCTGCTCTAAATGGGTCATCTGATTTAATTTGTTCCTGTAACTATTTTGAGTACATGTTCAAAGATTCTAGTCTATTTACCGGTTAGGACTGTGATGCAGCATATACCTTGTTTCTAAAGCGATAATTAACAGCTACAAACAGCTGATTTAAGCTTTTGTTTAAACGTGAGGTAGTTTGATTAACCTGTGAATGGTTTATTTAAACACATAAACATTGGTATAAGGAGGCACCAAATACATATGCGCCACATAAATCATTCGATTTATGTGGGGGCTGGGATAGTACCCGGGTGCTCAGACCGAAGTAGGTGATTTTCCTATGGGGCCACACCCGGAGCCTTCGACCTAAAGGTCTAATCAACAAGGCAGTGGAGCAATGTCGAGAGATGCAATCCCATGGTAGCCGATGACTAACAATAGGTTCATACTCCATTTGTTCCTTCAGGATACTGGAGCCAATGTGCACCTTTGGTTTGGAATCAGGATTTTCAAACTCCCCTAGGTAGATCCTCCATATCCACTAACCCGGCAAAGTCCCGTAAATTTGCTTTTCGTCCTCTCAATTTCGTAAACAACATCCCTAGTGTGAGAAGGCAGTGAGTAGGACTTCCCTGTCAGTGACTGTATACGCGTGGCCACTTCGAGAGGGAGAGTTGACTCTCCCCACTCTTGAACATACCAGGGCATTTAGGGGCTAAAGTAGGAAAATATTGTGACTGAAGAGAGATAAAACGGTCAGCCGGGAATTGTATTGTTAGTTTTTGTAAAAGTCATTTAAATAGTAATGATCTCAAAAATGAATATATATGACATAGCATAAAGTGCCAAACAGCAGAGTTTCCTATCGACTAGCTCCAACCGCTTAAAATGTTAACATAGTACATGAGATATCAGGTCACTTAGACTACTTATCACATTTTAACTTGATCGATAGAATTCAATCAGCACTGAGAAGGACATTACAGACATGAAATTGCTCACTGCTCAGTGATCAATCGACTGTTTTAATTTCTCTACTTATTTCATGATTGTTTTTTCATTTATATCCATTGTAAGAAATCAATTATCGACCTCTAATGTACACATATATATTCAATGGTAGTACCACAGAAGAACATTACACGTAATCATAAATGAAATATAATGGAAAGATATTTTTTAATCTTGTCAGATCTCAAATGAACGAAACTGTCTTTTTCTCATTAAATGCAAACAAAATAATTAGTTTCATTCAATGTATTGATAATAATCAAATTTTAATAGTTGAATCCATGAGTCGATGTAAGGTAAATCACCGTTGAAAACGTGGAAGCACTGAACGAACGTTTCATCGTAGCATACGAGATTCCAATCCAGAACTTTCGGGCTCACGCGCAAGCGCCTAACCACTAGATCACTAAGCTGGTCGGTATCCAACGGTGTTAACGTTTAACTTCAATCGATCCATACTCTTACGCAACTATTCATCCATTGTCTGAGGTAGATACCTGTCTCTATCCGACACGGATTAGACTCCAGTGCTTCCAGGTTGTTAGTGGTGGTCTAGGTTAAATCGACTCATGAATTCAACTATTAAAACTACTACAATCTCCACAAATCCCCCATTCTGATCATAATAATTATATTATTAGCGTCCATACTTTGTGTGTAGTTTATATTCAAGTATGTAGTGAGTTACCAGTAACCTATTCTTGATTGAACCGCCCAAGTATCAAGGGACAACAGTTAGTTTACGACTGTAATGAGCTAATATTTATCAAAAATCCTAGTATTCTCATACATTAAATTAAGACTTGCTTCGTGTTAATTAGACGAATGACAAAATAAATTGTATAATAGGATTGTTTCAACTATGTATCAGTATGGGTGAGAATCTAGTGCTAGAAAAAGTTTACCACTATCGATCGGTAGCTATAAATTGTTGATTATTAATTTAACTACATCTTATTAAGTACGGAATACTGAGTCAATTTTGTTCTACAATGCCTGTGTTATGGCTATTGTTACTATATGCCTATCGTAACCGATCTAAATGAAGTGCATATCAGATCTATGAATTTTTTCAACTTTCCCCTTGATCTGTAGTCATCATGTAACAAATGCAAAGAGGGAATTCTCTCTAATCACATTGGTTGTATCTTAAATGTAAATTGTTTTCTTTCTCGTTCAGTTCAATGAAATGAATCATAAGTGTGTTTTGTTGTTGTTGTTGTTGTCGTCAAAATTGTTTACATATAAAATGATGTTTATTTGTCTGTCAGTCATTTGATCATTCTGTTCGACACTGTAAATATACAAGATGACTTAGTAACTACAATTTTGTGACATAATCAATAAGCTAATTCCTTAATCAATTTTTTTAATTGTTTCCATTGTCGTTTCATTATATGACAATTGGTGAATTGTTTTTTCGTTCCCCTTTCAAGAACCAGGCCGGATAATGTTCCGAGATGCGTTTGGATAGTAATCGCTTTGTGCCAAGGCTTAAAGATTTCCAACCGTAAACCAAGTAATTAGTCCAACTCAATATCCACATCAATGTTCAAAGTATATGTTGATGAGTAATTGTCTTTGATGGAGTTTTGTTCTCTGAGCTGGATGGTTTGGTCGTGGAGATAGAAGTGTTTATTAACCATTGTCAACACAAAATCCTTCAGATCCGTTGGCCAGACACTATCAACAACAACCTATTATAGGAGAATAAACCAGATTGCAGCGGAGGAAGAAATCATGAATAGGCACTGGAAGTGGATAGGATACACATTGAGGAAAGCACCCAACTGTATCACATGGCGAGCACTCACATGGAATCTCAAAGCCAAAAGAGGAGAGGAGGAAGACTAAAGAATACATTACGCCGAGAAATGGAGACAAATATGAGAAAAATAAGCGAAAATTGGATGGAACTAGAAAGGAAGACCGAGAACAGAATGGATTGGAGAATGCTGGTCTGCGGCCTATGCTCCATTGGTAGAAACCGGCGTAACACACTTCACTCCTAGACATTACATTCATTTAAACAGATTGATTGTTACCACTAGCTGAAAACTCAAATCGGATTAAATCACCTAAAAGAAAAAGAAGGAAAAGAAAAACTTGCCTTTTTTCTTTTGTATAAATGAAATATCGTAAAACTATTGGTATGATTGAATTACATTCACATTGAACTGGTGCCCAAATGGATGAAAATTCTCCATATTCATAATCATTAAACCGTATAGTCTCATTATTATTGTTATCAAATAATTGTACATTCAATAGAAATTGACTACATATAGAATTACGATCAGAGGAATCACCAGTACTACTAACACTACTATTTGTAGTAGTAGTAGTAGTAGTATAATTATTGACATAAGCCATTAATATCCCATTGAAACAATAACCAATACCAATTAAATTGGATTTTTGATCATAATCATCATTCATAGTGATGAAATTATTGAATAATTTCATATTATAAAATTCAATTGGTTGATTTAATTGTAATAAATGAAATAAATGGACTTCTAATTGTATCCTGGTATCATGATTGTTGGGATTGTGGTTGTCGTGGTAGTGGTTGTTGCTATGCCAACGATTGAAATTTCTCATAATCTGTATAGATCTATATATATATCATGTAAGAAATTTTGTGTTAAAGAGTTTTGTGTGATTAAATGATGAAAAATTGGATAAAATGTTTCATTTCAATTAATCATTGTTGATTATCCTGATCCTTCTGCTGATGATGCTGACGACGCTCCTGTTCCTGCTCCTGCTGCTGATGGAATATCATTATAATGAGTAGTAGTAGTAGTAGTAGTAGTAGTAGTAGTAGTAGTAGTAGTAGTAGTAGTAGTAGTAGTAGTAGTAGTAGTAGTAGTAGTAGTAGTAGTAGTAGTAGTAGTAGTAGTAGTAGTAGTAGTAGTAGTAGTAGTAGTAGTAGTAGTAGTAGTAGTAGTAGTAGTAGTAGTAGTAGTAGTAGTAGTAGTAGTAGTAGTAGTAGTAGTAGTAGTAGTAGTAGTAGTAGTAGTAGTAGTAGTAGTAGTAGTAGTAGTAGTAGTAGTAGTAGTAGTAGTAGTAGTAGTAGTAGTAGTAGTAGTAGTAGTAGTAGTAGTAGTAGTAGTAGTAGTAGTAGTAGTAGTAGTAGTAGTAGTAGTAGTAGTAGTAGTAGTAGTAGTAGTAGTAGTAGTAGTAGTAGTAGTAGTAGTAGTAGTAGTAGTAGTAGTAGTAGTAGTAGTAGTAGTAGTAGTAGTAGTAGTAGTAGTAGTAGTAGTAGTAGTAGTAGTAGTAGTAGTAGTAGTAGTAGTAGTAGTAGTAGTAGTAGTAGTAGTAGTAGTAGTAGTAGTAGTAGTAGTAGTAGTAGTAGTAGTAGTAGTAGTAGTAGTAGTAGTAGTAGTAGTAGTAGTAGTAGTAGTAGTAGTAGTAGTAGTAGTAGTAGTAGTAGTAGTAGTAGTAGTAGTAGTAGTAGTAGTAGTAGTAGTAGTAGTAGTAGTAGTAGTAGTAGTAGTAGTAGTAGTAGTAGTAGTAGTAGTAGTAGTAGTAGTAGTAGTAGTAGTAGTAGTAGTAGTAGTAGTAGTAGTAGTAGTAGTAGTAGTAGTAGTAGTAGTAGTAGTAGTAGTAGTAGTAGTAGTAGTAGTAGTAGTAGTAGTAGTAGTAGTAGTAGTAGTAGTAGTAGTAGTAGTAGTAGTAGTAGTAGTAGTAGTAGTAGTAGTAGTAGTAGTAGTAGTATAGTAGTAGTAGTAGTAGTAGTAGTAGTAGTAGTAGTAGTAGTAGTAGTAGTAGTAGTAGTAGTAGTAGTAGTAGTAGTAGTAGTAGTAGTAGTAGTAGTAGTAGTAGTAGTAGTAGTAGTAGTAGTAGTAGTAGTAGTAGTAGTAGTAGTAGTAGTAGTAGTAGTAGTAGTAGTAGTAGTAGTAGTAGTAGTAGTAGTAGTAGTAGTAGTAGTAGTAGTAGTAGTAGTAGTAGTAGTAGTAGTAGTAGTAGTAGTAGTAGTAGTAGTAGTAGTAGTAGTAGTAGTAGTAGTAGTAGTAGTAGTAGTAGTAGTAGTAGTAGTAGTAGTAGTAGTAGTAGTAGTAGTAGTAGTAGTAGTAGTAGTAGTAGTAGTAGTAGTAGTAGTAGTAGTAGTAGTAGTAGTAGTAGTAGTAGTAGTAGTAGTAGTAGTAGTAGTAGTAGTAGTAGTAGTAGTAGTAGTAGTAGTAGTAGTAGTAGTAGTAGTAGTAGTAGTAGTAGTAGTAGTAGTAGTAGTAGTAGTAGTAGTAGTAGTAGTAGTAGTAGTAGTAGTAGTAGTAGTAGTAGTAGTAGTAGTAGTAGTAGTAGTAGTAGTAGTAGTAGTAGTAGTAGTAGTAGTAGTAGTAGTAGTAGTAGTAGTAGTAGTAGTAGTAGTAGTAGTAGTAGTAGTAGTAGTAGTAGTAGTAGTAGTAGTAGTAGTAGTAGTAGTAGTAGTAGTAGTAGTAGTAGTAGTAGTAGTAGTAGTAGTAGTAGTAGTAGTAGTAGTAGTAGTAGTAGTAGTAGTAGTAGTAGTAGTAGTAGTAGTAGTAGTAGTAGTAGTAGTAGTAGTAGTAGTAGTAGTAGTAGTAGTAGTAGTAGTAGTAGTAGTAGTAGTAGTAGTAGTAGTAGTAGTAGTAGTAGTAGTAGTAGTAGTAGTAGTAGTAGTAGTAGTAGTAGTAGTAGTAGTAGTAGTAGTAGTAGTAGTAGTAGTAGTAGTAGTAGTAGTAGTAGTAGTAGTAGTAGTAGTAGTAGTAGTAGTAGTAGTAGTAGTAGTAGTAGTAGTAGTAGTAGTAGTAGTAGTAGTAGTAGTAGTAGTAGTAGTAGTAGTAGTAGTAGTAGTAGTAGTAGTAGTAGTAGTAGTAGTAGTAGTAGTAGTAGTAGTAGTAGTAGTAGTAGTAGTAGTAGTAGTAGTAGTAGTAGTAGTAGTAGTAGTAGTAGTAGTAGTAGTAGTAGTAGTAGTAGTAGTAGTAGTAGTAGTAGTAGTAGTAGTAGTAGTAGTAGTAGTAGTAGTAGTAGTAGTAGTAGTAGTAGTAGTAGTAGTAGTAGTAGTAGTAGTAGTAGTAGTAGTAGTAGTAGTAGTAGTAGTAGTAGTAGTAGTAGTAGTAGTAGTAGTAGTAGTAGTAGTAGTAGTAGTAGTAGTAGTAGTAGTAGTAGTAGTAGTAGTAGTAGTAGTAGTAGTAGTAGTAGTAGTAGTAGTAGTAGTAGTAGTAGTAGTAGTAGTAGTAGTAGTAGTAGTAGTAGTAGTAGTAGTAGTAGTAGTAGTAGTATAGTAGTAGTAGTAGTAGTAGTAGTAGTAGTAGTAGTAGTAGTAGTAGTAGTAGTAGTAGTAGTAGTAGTAGTAGTAGTAGTAGTAGTAGTAGTAGTAGTAGTAGTAGTAGTAGTAGTAGTAGTAGTAGTAGTAGTAGTAGTAGTAGTAGTAGTAGTAGTAGTAGTAGTAGTAGTAGTAGTAGTAGTAGTAGTAGTAGTAGTAGTAGTAGTAGTAGTAGTAGTAGTAGTAGTAGTAGTAGTAGTAGTAGTAGTAGTAGTAGTAGTAGTAGTAGTAGTAGTAGTAGTAGTAGTAGTAGTAGTAGTAGTAGTAGTAGTAGTAGTAGTAGTAGTAGTAGTAGTAGTAGTAGTAGTAGTAGTAGTAGTAGTAGTAGTAGTAGTAGTAGTAGTAGTAGTAGTAGTAGTAGTAGTAGTAGTAGTAGTAGTAGTAGTAGTAGTAGTAGTAGTAGTAGTAGTAGTAGTAGTAGTAGTAGTAGTAGTAGTAGTAGTAGTAGTAGTAGTAGTAGTAGTAGTAGTAGTAGTAGTAGTAGTAGTAGTAGTAGTAGTAGTAGTAGTAGTAGTAGTAGTAGTAGTAGTAGTAGTAGTAGTAGTAGTAGTAGTAGTAGTAGTAGTAGTAGTAGTAGTAGTAGTAGTAGTAGTAGTAGTAGTAGTAGTAGTAGTAGTAGTAGTAGTAGTAGTAGTAGTAGTAGTAGTAGTAGTAGTAGTAGTAGTAGTAGTAGTAGTAGTAGTAGTAGTAGTAGTAGTAGTAGTAGTAGTAGTAGTAGTAGTAGTAGTAGTAGTAGTAGTAGTAGTAGTAGTAGTAGTAGTAGTAGTAGTAGTAGTAGTAGTAGTAGTAGTAGTAGTAGTAGTAGTAGTAGTAGTAGTAGTAGTAGTAGTAGTAGTAGTATAGTAGTAGTAGTAGTAGTAGTAGTAGTAGTAGTAGTAGTAGTAGTAGTAGTAGTAGTAGTAGTAGTAGTAGTAGTAGTAGTAGTAGTAGTAGTAGTAGTAGTAGTAGTAGTAGTAGTAGTAGTAGTAGTAGTAGTAGTAGTAGTAGTAGTAGTAGTAGTAGTAGTAGTAGTAGTAGTAGTAGTAGTAGTAGTAGTAGTAGTAGTAGTAGTAGTAGTAGTAGTAGTAGTAGTAGTAGTAGTAGTAGTAGTAGTAGTAGTAGTAGTAGTAGTAGTAGTAGTAGTAGTAGTAGTAGTAGTAGTAGTAGTAGTAGTAGTAGTAGTAGTAGTAGTAGTAGTAGTAGTAGTAGTAGTAGTAGTAGTAGTAGTAGTAGTAGTAGTAGTAGTAGTAGTAGTAGTAGTAGTAGTAGTAGTAGTAGTAGTAGTAGTAGTAGTAGTAGTAGTAGTAGTAGTAGTAGTAGTAGTAGTAGTAGTAGTAGTAGTAGTAGTAGTAGTAGTAGTAGTAGTAGTAGTAGTAGTAGTAGTAGTAGTAGTAGTAGTAGTAGTAGTAGTAGTAGTAGTAGTAGTAGTAGTAGTAGTAGTAGTAGTAGTAGTAGTAGTAGTAGTAGTAGTAGTAGTAGTAGTAGTAGTAGTAGTAGTAGTAGTAGTAGTAGTAGTAGTAGTAGTAGTAGTAGTAGTAGTAGTAGTAGTAGTAGTAGTAGTAGTAGTAGTAGTAGTAGTAGTAGTAGTAGTAGTAGTAGTAGTAGTAGTAGTAGTAGTAGTAGTAGTAGTAGTAGTAGTAGTAGTAGTAGTAGTAGTAGTAGTAGTAGTAGTAGTAGTAGTAGTAGTAGTAGTAGTAGTAGTAGTAGTAGTAGTAGTAGTAGTAGTAGTAGTAGTAGTAGTAGTAGTAGTAGTAGTAGTAGTAGTAGTAGTAGTAGTAGTAGTAGTAGTAGTAGTAGTAGTAGTAGTAGTAGTAGTAGTAGTAGTAGTAGTAGTAGTAGTAGTAGTAGTAGTAGTAGTAGTAGTAGTAGTAGTAGTAGTAGTAGTAGTAGTAGTAGTAGTAGTAGTAGTAGTAGTAGTAGTAGTAGTAGTAGTAGTAGTAGTAGTAGTAGTAGTAGTAGTAGTAGTAGTAGTAGTAGTAGTAGTAGTAGTAGTAGTAGTAGTAGTAGTAGTAGTAGTAGTAGTAGTAGTAGTAGTAGTAGTAGTAGTAGTAGTAGTAGTAGTAGTAGTAGTAGTAGTAGTAGTAGTAGTAGTAGTAGTAGTAGTAGTAGTAGTAGTAGTAGTAGTAGTAGTAGTAGTAGTAGTAGTAGTAGTAGTAGTAGTAGTAGTAGTAGTAGTAGTAGTAGTAGTAGTAGTAGTAGTAGTAGTAGTAGTAGTAGTAGTAGTAGTAGTAGTAGTAGTAGTAGTAGTAGTAGTAGTAGTAGTAGTAGTAGTAGTAGTAGTAGTAGTAGTAGTAGTAGTAGTAGTAGTAGTAGTAGTAGTAGTAGTAGTAGTAGTAGTAGTAGTAGTAGTAGTAGTAGTAGTAGTAGTAGTAGTAGTAGTAGTAGTAGTAGTAGTAGTAGTAGTAGTAGTAGTAGTAGTAGTAGTAGTAGTAGTAGTAGTAGTAGTAGTAGTAGTAGTAGTAGTAGTAGTAGTAGTAGTAGTAGTAGTAGTAGTAGTAGTAGTAGTAGTAGTAGTAGTAGTAGTAGTAGTAGTAGTAGTAGTAGTAGTAGTAGTAGTAGTAGTAGTAGTAGTAGTAGTAGTAGTAGTAGTAGTAGTAGTAGTAGTAGTAGTAGTAGTAGTAGTAGTAGTAGTAGTAGTAGTAGTAGTAGTAGTAGTAGTAGTAGTAGTAGTAGTAGTAGTAGTAGTAGTAGTAGTAGTAGTAGTAGTAGTAGTAGTAGTAGTAGTAGTAGTAGTAGTAGTAGTAGTAGTAGTAGTAGTAGTAGTAGTAGTAGTAGTAGTAGTAGTAGTAGTAGTAGTAGTAGTAGTAGTAGTAGTAGTAGTAGTAGTAGTAGTAGTAGTAGTAGTAGTAGTAGTAGTAGTAGTAGTAGTAGTAGTAGTAGTAGTAGTAGTAGTAGTAGTAGTAGTAGTAGTAGTAGTAGTAGTAGTAGTAGTAGTAGTAGTAGTAGTAGTAGTAGTAGTAGTAGTAGTAGTAGTAGTAGTAGTAGTAGTAGTAGTAGTAGTAGTAGTAGTAGTAGTAGTAGTAGTAGTAGTAGTAGTAGTAGTAGTAGTAGTAGTAGTAGTAGTAGTAGTAGTAGTAGTAGTAGTAGTAGTAGTAGTAGTAGTAGTAGTAGTAGTAGTAGTAGTAGTAGTAGTAGTAGTAGTAGTAGTAGTAGTAGTAGTAGTAGTAGTAGTAGTAGTAGTAGTAGTAGTAGTAGTAGTAGTAGTAGTAGTAGTAGTAGTAGTAGTAGTAGTAGTAGTAGTAGTAGTAGTAGTAGTAGTAGTAGTAGTAGTAGTAGTAGTAGTAGTAGTAGTAGTAGTAGTAGTAGTAGTAGTAGTAGTAGTAGTAGTAGTAGTAGTAGTAGTAGTAGTAGTAGTAGTAGTAGTAGTAGTAGTAGTAGTAGTAGTAGTAGTAGTAGTAGTAGTAGTAGTAGTAGTAGTAGTAGTAGTAGTAGTAGTAGTAGTAGTAGTAGTAGTAGTAGTAGTAGTAGTAGTAGTAGTAGTAGTAGTAGTAGTAGTAGTAGTAGTAGTAGTAGTAGTAGTAGTAGTAGTAGTAGTAGTAGTAGTAGTAGTAGTAGTAGTAGTAGTAGTAGTAGTAGTAGTAGTAGTAGTAGTAGTAGTAGTAGTAGTAGTAGTAGTAGTAGTAGTAGTAGTAGTAGTAGTAGTAGTAGTAGTAGTAGTAGTAGTAGTAGTAGTAGTAGTAGTAGTAGTAGTAGTAGTAGTAGTAGTAGTAGTAGTAGTAGTAGTAGTAGTAGTAGTAGTAGTAGTAGTAGTAGTAGTAGTAGTAGTAGTAGTAGTAGTAGTAGTAGTAGTAGTAGTAGTAGTAGTAGTAGTAGTAGTAGTAGTAGTAGTAGTAGTAGTAGTAGTAGTAGTAGTAGTAGTAGTAGTAGTAGTAGTAGTAGTAGTAGTAGTAGTAGTAGTAGTAGTAGTAGTAGTAGTAGTAGTAGTAGTAGTAGTAGTAGTAGTAGTAGTAGTAGTAGTAGTAGTAGTAGTAGTAGTAGTAGTAGTAGTAGTAGTAGTAGTAGTAGTAGTAGTAGTAGTAGTAGTAGTAGTAGTAGTAGTAGTAGTAGTAGTAGTAGTAGTAGTAGTAGTAGTAGTAGTAGTAGTAGTAGTAGTAGTAGTAGTAGTAGTAGTAGTAGTAGTAGTAGTAGTAGTAGTAGTAGTAGTAGTAGTAGTAGTAGTAGTAGTAGTAGTAGTAGTAGTAGTAGTAGTAGTAGTAGTAGTAGTAGTAGTAGTAGTAGTAGTAGTAGTAGTAGTAGTAGTAGTAGTAGTAGTAGTAGTAGTAGTAGTAGTAGTAGTAGTAGTAGTAGTAGTAGTAGTAGTAGTAGTAGTAGTAGTAGTAGTAGTAGTAGTAGTAGTAGTAGTAGTAGTAGTAGTAGTAGTAGTAGTAGTAGTAGTAGTAGTAGTAGTAGTAGTAGTAGTAGTAGTAGTAGTAGTAGTAGTAGTAGTAGTAGTAGTAGTAGTAGTAGTAGTAGTAGTAGTAGTAGTAGTAGTAGTAGTAGTAGTAGTAGTAGTAGTAGTAGTAGTAGTAGTAGTAGTAGTAGTAGTAGTAGTAGTAGTAGTAGTAGTAGTAGTAGTAGTAGTAGTAGTAGTAGTAGTAGTAGTAGTAGTAGTAGTAGTAGTAGTAGTAGTAGTAGTAGTAGTAGTAGTAGTAGTAGTAGTAGTAGTAGTAGTAGTAGTAGTAGTAGTAGTAGTAGTAGTAGTAGTAGTAGTAGTAGTAGTAGTAGTAGTAGTAGTAGTAGTAGTAGTAGTAGTAGTAGTAGTAGTAGTAGTAGTAGTAGTAGTAGTAGTAGTAGTAGTAGTAGTAGTAGTAGTAGTAGTAGTAGTAGTAGTAGTAGTAGTAGTAGTAGTAGTAGTAGTAGTAGTAGTAGTAGTAGTAGTAGTAGTAGTAGTAGTAGTAGTAGTAGTAGTAGTAGTAGTAGTAGTAGTAGTAGTAGTAGTAGTAGTAGTAGTAGTAGTAGTAGTAGTAGTAGTAGTAGTAGTAGTAGTAGTAGTAGTAGTAGTAGTAGTAGTAGTAGTAGTAGTAGTAGTAGTAGTAGTAGTAGTAGTAGTGGATATGAAGACATCATGGGACGACACTGACTGGGAGAAAGAAACGAAAATGGTGAGAGATTTGCAAATCTATGTGCCTTCAATAAGCTGGTCATAGGCGGCACCATATTCCCACATAAACGCATACACAAAACCACATGGACTTCACCGGATCACTCTACACAAAACCAAATCGACCATATTTGCATCAACAAAACGTTCAGGAGGACTATAGAGGACGTGAGAACCAAGAGAGGAGCTGATATAGCATCAGATCATCACTTGCTGGTCGCCAAGATGAAATTGAAACTCAAGAAGCACTGGACAACGGGGCGGACAATATCACAAAAGTTCAATACGGCCTTTCTACAGGATACTAACAAACTCAACAAATTCAAGATAGTCCTCAGCAACAAGTTCCAGGCCTTTCATGATCTACTCAATGGAGAAGGAACTACTGTGGAGAGCAACTGGAAGGGGATCAAAGAGGCAATCACTTCAACATGTCATGAGGTCCTGGGTCACAAGAAGCACCACCACAAGGAATGGATCACTGTTGATACACTGGATAAGATTCAAGAAAGAGGAACAAGAAGGCAGCAATCAATACCAGCCGAACAAGAGCAGAAAAAGCCAAGGCACAAGCTGAATACACGGAAATAAACAAACAAGTGAAGAGGAGCATCAGAACCGACAAACGTAAATATGTGGAAGATTTAGCAACGACGGCTTTTTTTTGGAAAGGGGCAGGAAACATGAGACAATTGTATGACACGACAAAGAAACTCTCTGGAAATCGCCGCAAACCAGAACGACCAGTGAAAAGCAAGGAAGGCGAGGTAATCACCAACATTGAAGAGCAACAAAACAGGTGGGTAGAACACTTCAAAGAACTCTTGAATCGACCAGCTCCACTGAACCCACCCAACATCGAAGCAGCACCCACGGACCTCCCAATCAATGTTGGCCCACCAACAATTGAAGAAATCAGCATGGCCATCAGACAAATCAAGAGTGGCAAAGCAGCAGGACCGGACAACATTCCAGCAGAGGCACTAAAAGCAGACGTAGCGGCAACTGCAAGGATACTCCACATTCTCTTCAATAAGATTTGGGATGAGGAACAAGTACCAAAAGACTGGAAAGAAGGACTTCTGATCAAAATACCGAAGAAAGGCGATCTCAGCAAGTGTGATAACTACAGGGGCATCACTCTTCTCTCAATACCGGGAAAAGTCTTCAACAGGGTATTGTTAAACAGGATGAAGGACTGCGTAGACGCCCAACTTCGTGACCAACAGGCAGGATTCCGTAAGGATAGATCGTGTACAGACCAAATCGCAACTCTACGGATCATTGTGGAACAATCAATTGAATGGAATTCATCACTCTACATCAACTTCATTGACTACGAAAAGGCATTTGATAGCGTGGACAGAACAACACTATGGAAACTTCTTCGACACTACGGCGTGCCTCAGAAGATAGTCAATATCATACAGAACTCATATGATGGATTACACTGCAAAATTGTGCATGGAGGACAGTTGACAAAGTCGTTCGAAGTGAAGACCGGTGTTAGGCAAGGTTGCTTACTCTCACCCTTTCTCTTTCTCCTGGTGATCGACTGGATCATGAAGACGTCAACGTCTGAAGGGAAGCGCGGGATACAATGGACATCTAAGATGCAGTTGGATGATCTAGACTTCGCAGACGATCTGGCCCTTCTATCCCAAACGCAACAACAGATGCAGGAGAAGACGAACAGTGTGGCAGCAGCCTCAGCAGCAGTAGGTCTCAATATACACAAAGGGAAAAGCAGGATTCTCCGATACAACACAGCATGCACCAATCAAATCACACTTGGTGGAAAAAATTTGGAAGATGTAAAATCCTTTACATATCTGTGTAGCATCATTGATAAACATGGTGGATCTGATGCACTTGTGAAGGCGCTAATCGGCAAAGTAAGAGGAACATATTGACACTTGAAGAATATCTGGAACTCAAAACAACTATCCACCAACACCAAAGTCACAATTTTCAATACATTTTTTTTTTTTTTTTTTTTTTTTTAGGCGGAAACCTGGAGAACTACGAAAGCCATCATCCAGAACATACAGGTGTTTATTAACAATTGTCTACGCAAAATACTTCAGATCCATTGGCCGGACACTATTAGCAACAACGTACTGTGGGAGAGAACAAACCAGATCCCAACGGAGAAAGAAATCAGGAAGAAGTGATGGAAATGGATAGGACACACATTGAGGAAAGCACCCAACTGCGTCACAAGACAAGCCCTCACATGGAATCCTCAAGGCCAAAGGAAAAGAGGAAGACCAAAGAACACATTACGCCGGGAAATGGAGATAGACATGAGAAAAATGAACAAGAATTGGATGGAACGAGAAAAGAAGGCCCAGGACAGAGTGGGTTGGAGAATGCTGGTCAGAGGCCTATGCTCCAATGGGAGTAACATGCGTAAGTAAGTAAGTAACAATCACTCCCACAGCCACATCTTGACTTCACGTTGTATAAATGTTATTTCCTATTGGATAGTGTGATGCGGCGGTGTGTTTGGCTGGTATATAAACCAATTATGTTTGAAATAAATGGTTTACATAATGGAAGCTTTTATTGGTGTTCTGGACTGAAGTGGATGGGCTAGGAAACCAAAAGAACCGATAAGGACATTAGGCTGTTCATAGTGGTCGAACGTTATTACTTTGTTACAATACTAATATTGTATAAGTTTTGTTTCAATTCGCGGATATATCACGTGATAACTAGCTGGGTTTAAAGTCACAACACATTAAACTTTTTCCTAATTAGACTTGAAATAGCGAAATGTTAAAAAAATTATAAACAGTGGATTTTGGTTACTAGGTTTTCTTAGTTGCTAGCTATCATTGTCATTATGTGCCTATAATTTCTAGATAGGCTTACCAATACTATTTATTTGTTACAACATGGCATTCTCAGGACAAAACATTTGAGCGATTTCTTCCTATTCATCGTTTCCATCATCCATTCAACTTGGAAATGGTTGAGGATTTAGATGGACATACACTCAGGTCAATCAACAGGCATATCGAAGTCAACTCAATGTACTTACTAAGTGGAAAAGTCATGAACAAACATAGAGTCAGGAATCATATCATCAAAGAGAGAAACAATGAGAATAAATATGCATACAACACTAGGTACTTAAGATGAGAGATGACATAACAAGCTGTCAGTCATATATGGAGAAATTTGAGTACATCATATCTACCTGATGTTTGTTCTGATGATGTTCAGAATGACAATGGAACCTCTATGATTAAACCTTCCAGCCCATAGAATACGTTTTCATCGAAATTATTTACCTCAGCTAAAAAAAATCTCCACCATCTCAATATTCATACACAAAGTAAGTGAATAAAACTATTAGAAATTTCTATGCGAAAATAAAACTCGAACACAACGAATTAACCCCATGTTCAATACTATAGAGTTGTGGCTAAGTCAGCCTAATATAAACTGTTTGTCGTTGAAATTCACTTGGTGTTGCTTTACTTGTATCTTCCCATTGTTATTTATGACTACAATTGATCAGTCTCTTATTGGCATATGTGCATCCTGTGTGGATTGCCTCGATATAGACTTAAGTCACAAGCATTTTAAGCAAGGAGGGATAATGACTAGAAGCGAAATCCAGTTTGATGCGCGTGTCGTCCTATTCAAGACTCGTCAGCTGGATGTACCTGCATCCCAGTGTTGATGTTCTCTCAGGGACTCGAATCCTTGTCATTTAGTATATATACTAGTGCTATCAGGTTGTCCATGGTAGTCTAGCTCCAAATGACTCATGGATTCAACTATTAATTTGCTATAATATCCACAAAATCCTCTCCCATCACTTGGTATTGTTCACTTAAACGTTCGCATCGATGTTTAGAAAGAAACGAGCTTCCTGGATTCCACTGCTAGCCACTATTCATCTTTGCTTAACTGAAAGACTATTTTCATCATAAAATGAATTTAATTAGTGGATCGTTTGCAGCAACTAAACAATTAAAATGTATCGTCCTTATTCTCAGCATGGTTGAAATCTGGAAATCACAGTAGAACTTCGGAAATTCATCTAGAAAAGATAATCGATATTGTGCACATGATTACTGTTTATCAAGTTAATTAGTGGAAGTTGTGTCAGGGTTAAAAAACACATTGCAAACATATTGTAAACAGAGGTGTCAATAAGAGACCGATCAATCACAGACGTAAACATCAATGGAAAGATCCAAACAACTAATACAGAACGGAATAACAACCAACTATTTTTTCAGAAGGTACTCTCCAAATATCAGTCAACTGTTACATCTAGATTGTTTTGTAGAAGTTTGAAAATATCAAAGAACCATCAACTAGTGGATTAGAATCAGTGCTAGTGGATTCCATAAACGTTATAAGAGCTAATGTACAAGCCACCAAATCTGTCAACCTCACACTTAAGCTGGTCAGATACATGTATTGTCAGAGTCCACATGACCAGAAACTTACACCCTTCACTAAATTATACTGGAATGATGAAAGTCTTTTAAAGTTTACTTTTAATCATAACTCTTAAGAAAAGCAACAACCTTTCTTGATAAATCAGACAGGTTTTGTGGATATTATAGTAATTTCAATGGTTAAGATCATGAGTCAGTAGAGGCTAGAACACCATGGAAAACCTGGAAGTACTGGATGACCGTTTCATCCTATTGTGGGACTAATCAGCAGTGTGCATCCACAAACTCGCCACCTGCGAGATTGGAACCCAGGACCTACTGGATTCTCATGCGAACACTTAACAACTAGACCACTGAGCAGGCCGGCATCCAACGACGTTAATGTCTAACTTCAACTAATCCACAAAATTGAGCGACACAACCACCACTGTCTTCAGTGAGTTAGTATCTCACAACAACCTGGTTGAACTGCACTGGTCACTGCTTCTCACTAGAACTCCAGTATATACATCTTGAAGACAGTGGATGTGCACTGCTGAGGAGTCCCACAACACGACGATAGGCCGTCTAATGCTTCCAGGTTTTCCATGGTGGTCTAGCTTCAACTGACTCATGATCTTAACCATTGAAGTTTTCGTGATACTTCTTTTGTTTGTTTAAATCTTTTGGCCTCATCAGTGTTTTAGTATAGGCTTTAAATAACTAAGAACTGAGAATGTGAAGTTGACTAGATGAAAATAAGTTTTGAAAACATGGACCAATGATGCACATTAATCAATAATTGACGATATTTCCATAGCCTTTAAGGGTATTTCACAGAGACAAGTGCATCGTGAATATAACACACGCTAAACCGAGCAACTATTTTAAACAAAATACTTTGACATATCACTACTACTGGTTATTAATAGAGTAGTTCATCTTCTTAGATAAAATTCTTTGAAGTGGTGTTCAGAAATTGATTACGTTGATTAAGTAATCACCGTTTATGGTTTCTTCACAATACTTTTTGAGATTAACTTTGTTTTGGATACGATGAGAATAATAAATTTTCATTCCGTTTAATTTCTTAATATGGATTGTTTAACTTACGACGTTTGATCAACTGAATAAACTCAGAAATTAAATTAAATTAATGACTAATTTAGTGGAGAAGATTTGTAGTTCAGATGGATGATTTCGGTGGAATTTTGTCCTCTAACCTGGATGTTTTGGTTGTGGAGCATTTACAGTTCTTCAGAAGAACAATCAAAGCTCGTTGTATATGATTTGATGGAAGGAAAAGTCAATTTCCGATGGATTAACTCATTATGAGTTTTGTTCAAGATTACTTCCGTTTTGATTCAGTGTAATGATTACACAACGTATTATTTGTTTTCTTTTCTCGTATGATATTTTATTCTGTACAGATACAAAAGGTGGCATTCAAAGAACCAAGACAATAAGCATTCAAACGACAGGTTATAACAGTATATATATATATATATATATATATATATATATATATATATATATATATATATATATATATATATATATATATGTATATATATATATATATAGGGGTTTTGTGGATATTATAGTAATTTGAATGGTTGAGATCATGAGTCAATTGAAGCTAGACTACCATGGAAAATCTGTAAGCACTGGATGTCCGTTTGGTCATATTGTGGGACTCCTCAGCAATGCGCATCCACAATCACGCCAGCGAGGTTTGAACCCAGGGCCTTCAGAATTACGCGCAATCGCTTAAGCTTTAGACCACTGAACCGGCATCCAGCGATGTTAGTGTCGAATTTCAACCAATCTACGAAGTTGCGCTAACATCGTCCATTGTACTGAGGTAAATACCTGCTTCTACCCGACACGGACTAGCTCCACTGTTCACGACTTCTCACTAGAACTCCGAGAATTCCCACAAGAAGTCAATCACTAGTGAGCGCATAGGTTCGAATCCTGCGAGCCGGACGGTTAGTGCGCACTGCTGAGGAGTCCCACAACAAGACGAAAGGGCCGTCCAGTGCTTACAGGTTTTCAATGGTGATCTAACATCAATCAGCTCATGATCTCAATCGAAACTCAACAAGCCTATAATTATAAATCAGTTACTCATATCTTCATTACAAACAACCTAGTTATTTACTGTGGATCATTAGGTATCTGTGGCGTGTTTTGGATTTGTAATTTATCTATATTAGGCCGTTAGTTTTTGAGTCATAACAATAGGAGGTTGAACAACTTGTTGTTCTCGTATTCTAATTGATTATTGGTGGATAGAAGAAACTGTGTGGGCTAATATACGACAGGATGGTGATGGTTATTAGTTAAGCGATGGTTAGTAATATAATCAGCACAAATAACGCTAATCATGATTGGACTGAAAAAATTGATGAACCTAGTAAATGAGCATATAGAAATTCAATTCATAATACAATGGTGTCTCAAATAAGACTGATATCAGAATGAACCTTCTTTAGACTGTTGGAGATGGTTTTGTAGGCAATTGTCATGGAAGCCTGAAATTAGACTATATGTTACTTGACACTCGTTAGCTAAGGGAACTGGTACTCTTCGTAAGTTTTAAATCAATCAAAGTCAAATAATTTTAAACTCATGGAAGTTACATTAGAATATTGTGAATGAAGGCGGATAAAGTTCTGTTTAATCTGAAAAAAAGATGAAATGACAAAAAGAAATACTGAAATGAAATGCATAGAATGTATAAAAGAAACTTTGAGATGGTGGAGAAGATTTGTAACTCAGGTGGATGACTTTGATGGAGTTTTGTTCTTTGAGCTGGATAGTTTGGTGGTGGAGCTTTCGTCGTTCTTCTGAACGATTTCTAACACGAAACCCGGGTCCAGGGTTTCCTGTTGACTACCTCCAACTACCATCTTAACTATGGCCTATTCCAAAAACATTCTTCATCTCGGTTTCATCATTTCTCATTTAAATATTTACCAGTTGATCCCTTACTTTATTTCAGTTTAATATAGATGTGTCAAATCTAAATACGGATTGAGACTGGAAGACCGTATAGTTACATCAAACTATTCAGATGCCTTCATTCCACTGACAGATAAAACCTTCATTTAAATGAATGGAGATCGAAATCTCATCGATATGGGAGCTACATAGAACAATGGAGAGTAATCAAATAATTTGGGAGTAAATAACAATGATGATCAATGATCATACAGCGAACTAAGTGAAGACTGGATTAATCTGAAATACACTCATTGTCATAACTGGCTTATTGACGCTCTATTTAGTAGACTAAGAAGAAACAGTACACTGTCTCATTGGGTTTTGTTTTACTAATTTTAAAATCGTTACTCTTGTTCAGTGACTGAGTAAAAACCTAGATTGAAGTAGGATTACACCAACTGTGGTCAGCTAGGCTAGTCTGACACTCAAATGATCAGAAAACATTGATTTCTAAAGTCAAATAGTTTGATTTTAAATTAACTCCATCCTATTCAGTTTCAAGTGAACTGGACAGCTAGTTGATTCGAGAGTAAGGTTCAAGTTACCCGAGTTTGTATTTCAATGATTTATCAAGTGATCATGATTGAGTTTGACATATTAACCTATAATCACTTAAAAAAACAACCGATGAGTGGCTCGCACTCAAGCACTAAAATCTTGTACATGGTCACTGTATCGACTTCTTCGATTCAGCCAGTCGGTCAAGTGTGGCGTAAGATCCGGTTCAATTTGCCATTACCTTGTTAACACAGTGAAATGAAATTATTCGGGCAAGTCCAAGAGTAGTAGAGACAGTAACAGTAATAGTAGCAATACAAAAGATTAGGCATCGAAAAAATGATTCAAATTATCGAAGTAAAAAAATTCATAAGGAATTTAGAAACTTATCATCTAAGGGAGGACAAAGAGTGGACGTACATGAATCGTTCCAAGTGATTTTGAACCATGTCACTTAGAAACTTGAACCATTAGTTACGAAAATAACGACGCTCCAAACCGAGTAGTCTACGCCTCAATTCAACCTTCAGTAACTTCATGGACTGATGCCGTGTTTTATTTCACCCGACTAGCTTTCTTCCAGACTACATCGCCCGTTAGGGTCAGTATCAGTATGCTTACAGATGCAAAGAAGCACCTTAGATGCTGTTGCTGTTCTGCATCACAATATAGTGTTCAATTTAGAAAAGAGTAAGAAGTATGTTCGATGCGCTTTTCTGGACTATACTTCAGCTTTTGATTCTATAACAAGAAAACGTTCAATTAACAAGTTAATCAGCGTCTACACTGGCAGCTGGATAACCAACTGGCTATGTCCCTACCTCTCAGAAAGGGAACACTACACTGTATTTGAAGGAAAGTGTTCAGAGTCTCTACTGTCTCATGAAGATGTACTTCAAGGAGCTGTTCTCTCACCTCTTCATTTCTTTTTTTTTCTGCATGATTTGCCATCTTCCACAGAAAACACTTGTGAAATATGCAGATGATCTCAGTGTATGTATGCCTATCTCTTCCTCTTTACATCCCATAGAAATGAATGAGTTTTTGTCTCGTATTGATTGTTGGTCTGTTGGTAATGGTCTTATACTTAATCAATCTAAATGTCAAGCTGTTAACTTTAGCATGAGACATGAACGGCGTCTAAACTCCATTTTGAGATCCCATAATGCTTGTACCATTGGAGACTCTTTAATAAACATAGTTTCTAAGGTCAATTACCTTGGTGTTATCTTTTCCTCTTCTCACGTCTTATTGTTATCGAAGAAGGTTTCCCGTATGACTTACTACATAAACAGATTGCATTACTTACTTACTTACATACATACCTACCTACTTACTTACTCACTCACTCACTCACTTACTTACTTACTTACTTACTTACTCACTTACTTACTTACTTACTTATTTACTCACTTACTTACTTATTTACTTACTTACTCACTTACTTACTCACTTACTTACTTATTTACTCACTTACTTACTTATTTACTTACTTACTTACTTACTTACTCACTTACTTACTTACTTACTTACTTACTTACTTACTTACTTACTCACTTACTTACTCACTTACTTACTTACTTACTTACTTACTTACTTACTCACTCACTCACTCACTTACTTACTTACTTACTCACTTACTTACTTACTTACTTACTTACTCACTTACTTACTTACTTACTTATTTACTCACTTACTTACTTATTTACTTACTTACTTACTTACTTACTCACTTATTTACTCACTTACTTACTTATTTACTTACTTACTTACTTACTTACTCACTTACTTACTTACTTACTTACTTACTTACTTACTTACTTACTTACTCACTTACTTACTCACTTACTTACTTACTTACTTACTTACTTACTTACTCACTCACTCACTCACTTACTTACTTACTTACTCACTTACTTACTTACTTACTTACTTACTTACTTACTCACTTACTTACTTACTTACTTACTTATTTACTCACTTACTTACTTATTTACTTACTTACTTACGCCTTTTACTCCTCGTAAAGGAGCATAGGCCACTCACCAGCATTCTCCATCCAACCCTGTCCTGGGCAATCCTTTTTAGCTCCGTCCAGTTGTAATTCATCCTTTTCATATCTGCTTCTATTATCCAACGCAATGTGTTCTTTGGCCTTCCTCTTTTCCACTTCCCTTCAGGGTTCCAAGTTAGGGCTTGTCTCGTGATACAGTTTGATGATTTGCGTAATGTATGTCCTATCCATTTCCATCGTCTTTTCCTAATTTCTTCCTCAGCTGAAAGTTGGTTTGTTCTCTCCCACGAAAGGCTATTGCTGATGGTATCCGGCCAATGGATGTTGAGTATCTTGCGTAGATAACCATTAAAAAATACTTGTACCTTCTTGATGGTGGTTGTTGCAGTTCCCCAAGTTTCAACTCCGCACAGCAGAACTGACTTGACGTTCGTATTGAAGATTCTCACTTAGACATTGGTTGAAAGTTGTTTTCAGTTCCATATGTTCTTCAATTGTAGGAATGCGGTCCTTGCTTTGCCAATCCTCGCTTTCACGTCTGCATCTGAACCTCCTT